GTCGAGGGGGTAGAGTCCGGTGGAGAGGGAAAGTCGAGCTCCTTTGGGGAGAAGATGACCCCTGACACGAACGTCAGCAGCGCTCCATGGCTGCGTTCAGCTACAGGGTTCCAGAAGTTTCTTGAACTCGGCATGCCGTGTGCTCGATCCCTGAGAACTGCGACTGCAACGCCTTCCCACGCTTCTGAACTGTTGGTTCTTTGTCACGACCTCACGTAGGTGACAGTGGCTGTCTGGAGAGGTTGACTTCATGAGAACTGCAACAGTGATGCCGTCTAAAGCTGTTCGACTCCGTTCAACAAAAGGGTTGTTCGCGATGGTTCTGTCGAGTTCCTCGTAACCCGACCACAGCGAACTGCCTGGAACACATACAGGACAGCGTCGTGCGTGGCGCTTCTAACCGGGCACCGATGACGTTGAAAGCATTCTAGCAGACCGGCTTACGCGCAACGGCGTCGGCTGAGACGAACTGCTGGGCGAAACTTCGGTGTCCTTACGCTGCCCTTTACTGGCCCTGCGTTTCCTATTGCGCCTCGTACAAGGAGAGAAATCTCCCGCGAGAACTCTCGCAAATTGTTTTCTAGGCACTCACTTTCGGTATTGAATGCCTAATGTACATCTTAATCAAGGCCTACAATCGGTAACACTTTCCTCGTTTTATGCTACAGCTGTCGTATTTTTTAGCCATATCCAATTGACTTGTCCTGGGGTAGATGTGTTGGACAGTGTTATCGTGGGCACAACAACCTCTTTGTTGCTCCCGTTAGTTCCCCCTATAACGTACCCGCTCTAGTCGTGTGTCTTGGAGCGCGCTGGCGGCATCATTTCTGCCTGGCCACCTCCGGGATTTCATGCGGTGACCGGGGTGACGCGTTCTTCTTATCCTTGACCGCTTCAAAATGTGAAGAATGGTGCAATCAGCCACATGTCCAAACTCCTCCCTACGAGAAACAAATTCAGCATGTTTTGAGGCAATGCGTCGTTCCTCGTGTTTCCAGGAGGGCCGCGCATGTTGGATTTTGTGGTCTTGGAGCAAATCGCTTCGTTCCTTCCAACCATTGTTCTCGAAGCGGCTTCGCCTGTCTTCATTTCTGCTGTTGTTTACTGTCTTTGGCGGAATCACTGCGTTGAGGTTGCAGAAAGGCGTCGCCGTCGCACACTCTTGCCGATGTTGGAGTGATTGTACACAGAGCTGCCCTCTGTTCTGTTCTTTCTCGGCGAGGAACAATTCCTTCGCCACTGGTCCTGCCCCTTTGTGTTCGTCTGTGAGAGACACGGGGAACTTGTCTTTCAGCCTGCCTGGTTTTGGTAGACTGTTATTTTATTTAGTACCAGCAGGAATATGGCACGCAAATACCATGTAAATACATAACTTATACATATTTAGGCCACATCTGTGTGTTTTTTGTTTACTCTGCATTGTACATATGTAGACATACCTCTTTGTGACAAATTTTGCTCTGTCTGTACATGTTTTGTTTCACCACGATGTTCTGTTGGAATGTTATTGATGTCTCCTGTTCGTGAGAATAAATTTTTCTAACCACAGTCGTCTGTGTGTGTTCATTATAATGTCATTATTGTTTGGAGCAGTGATGCCAACCCTAGAGATTTATCCCTATGTTGAGAGATTTTCTGCCTGTTCCAGAGATTTGGCGTCTTTTTGTTGAATATGAGAATTTTTGTAAAGCTCTATAAATGTAATTGTACGTGGCCTGATAAAGGCATAACTTATTATACAGCTAAAAAGGCTTTAAAAACCGACTATTTTATGTTTCCTCTATTTAAGACAATCATGGTGTTCTGCTTGCCCGAGTGAAGGGGATAGTAGCGTTGTAAGGCAAGAATATTATATGCTGAGTAATGGGGGAATGAAATTCTGTTGTAAGAATTAAGCATGCACGCACATTTCATGAGCGCCTTGAGTGACTGCCGCTCTGTCAAGCCAAGATAAATTTTGTCATGTAGTACACGTGAACACGTGTCAACGCGCACTGCGTGCCTTCACCGAGCAATGCCTCCATGTGAAATAACTTGACCAAGAGGCTTAGAGATGAACAGAGCGAAACTAAGATTGGATAAGGTGTTACAGGTTAAATATTGCGAAAACGGCTATAGATGAAAAGAGAGAAGACATTTTCGATTGTTTTCAGTCTTTCCGTTGTCCTTCATATCGGAGAGTGCAAACGTGACGAAAATATTTGGTCAAACGGAGAGCTGATTGAAAATACAGTGGAAAGACGTAGCTGTCAAACTGTGAAAGAGGGCCCACGTATATCTACTGAAAATAATGCAACAGTGTAAGTGCGAAAAGTTTAGAATGGACCGCCACCTCAGAAGTGGCAGGTACAAAAGGATGCCACAGATTTGCAGTTGACCCGAATGGTCACATCTACGCCTTGAATGCTTGGGAAAAGTGAAGTTTAGATACAAATATGCCTGTGACAACTACTGGTGCCATATGCAAGCATTTTATATGCATTCAACTCCACAAAACATGTAGAACAAAGACCTTAAAGGTTCTTAATACGGTTCTTCTTACATTTAAAAACATTCAGACCAACTCAGCCACAGGGGACACAATCTTAATACTTATTGAGACTCAATTAGCCTTATTTATGTCATTAAAATATTGTAAGGAGTTTTCTTGTAAATTCGAGGGTCAATCTAGAGATCAAATGTTGTCTAAGGCTGGCATCATTGGTTTCGACACTGTTTCTTCTTGTTCGTTTTGTATCACGATGGAATAATCTCTTTTCTGCACATTTGATTCAGAGGCAGCATACCGCGCTCCCGTCCCGTGGTTTCGGGAATCTTCAAACATCTTGCAGTAGAGCCCATGTGTATATAGACCGAAAACAGCAGGATCTACTGATCTGCCTATACAATTCTCGTGCTGCCCGCTGCTAATTCGGTAGGGACCGGGCATGGCGTCCACGATTTTCTCAGGCTGTTTCATTCGCACGAGCAGAGCGTAATCATATAGAAAGCGGGGCGAAAGCAGAAGAAGCGTCGCTGGTTGCACTCCGGACTTGTATTAAGGTTGGCCAAGAGTTAGAGCGAAAACATGAAAATCACACCACGTCCGAACTGGCGGGAAACGTGACACGCGTCATGTCTGTCGTAGAATAGAGGATTATGGGTGAATTCTATCAGCTGGGTCTGGGCTATAGTCTGGGCTAAGGTTACCGCCCCGAGGTGTGTTAAGGCGTCGGCGGAATTGCCCTTCTTTTCGGAAAAACGCCGAATGGAACGGTCGTAGCTCCTCTAGTCTGGCCGTGGAGGTGGCTACCTACTACTACTACTACTACTACTACTACTACTACTACTACTACTACTACTACTACTACTACTACTACTGCTACTACATACGTCGCGGACGCACGACCCACGGCTCAAGGAGCTTCGCCTCTAAAGGACGCAGGCGTCCTGGCATTGTGAAAAGGTGGATCCCCAAGTCGTTTGGCGTAAATATTGTTCACTCTTTGCTGCAACCGTATTCGGAGACAATCGTTTTAGGGCAATTTTATATTATGTTGTCCCGTCTCTAGCGCAATTGAAGGTTTCCAAAAAATTGTTTTATGAGGCGCCGCCTTCAGGGCGCACGTGCTGGCTATAGTTGAACTTTGAAGCGCACAATGAACCACTTCGATCGTTGGACAGGCAAAACTATACGTCACACAAGATGACACTGTTATAGAAAGTGGTCATCTCAGCGTCCGTGCGGCACCGAGTGCGAGACAGATGTGCAGTGAATCACATACTGGCAGCTTAGTATTGCGGGGAGCTTTACGTGCACGATACGGTAACAATCTTTATCATATTGGGCCCCGGCCATTTCCACTACCTGGAGTCTTTTATCATGCACCTAAATTCTAATTCACAAACCTCTAGCGTTTTGCCTAGATCGAAAAGTGACCGCCGCTGACGGGATTCGATCCCGTAACCTTCAGATCAGCAGTCGAGCACTGTATGACCACTGTTACCATCGCGGCAACAAGAAGCGTACACATATAAAAGATCGTATACATCGACTTCATTGAATAAAGGAACGTTGCTGATCTTTATCCCGTATATTTGGGACAACAAGAGCTCAATTTTGGCGAGTTGTTTTATGTAGAATATTCTAGGTACAACGCAACGACAGCAGGACAGAACAGACAGGAAAAAGCATGGACTTCAAATGAAATTAATGAAGGTGATCCGTCCGCTTTAATGCAGGACGCAAGATGCGCAACAACACCTTTGTGATTGTGCATAACAACGTTAGTTGAGAAGTGAATATTTTCTTTCAGACAGGTGAAGTGTTGGTAGATCCTATGCGTGGATCCGTGACCTTCCTGATAAAATACTCTTCTTATACTAGAACGGGCTGTTGGGCTAGTTGTTTCATTTTGAATAAATGTGGGACGCAACCCACGCTCTATACTGTCTACTTCCTTCTTTTTCGTCTACGTTGGTTGCGTCATTCACCTTGCTTTATATTCTCGTTTTCATTCTTCGTTCTCGTTTTTTTTCAAAAGCCTTGTTGTCTCGCATGCGCACAAATTTGAATGACAGCACTTTTTTACTTCCCCTGTTGTTTCTTCTTACTGTTTCGCTGTACCTCCGATATTCGCATTCGAGACATTCAAATATTCAGGTTCAGGTACCGTTTCTCCTTTTACTGCATAGAGAACACCTTTGCCAGCTGGCGCACCTGCAGAAGTTATAGGTTTGACGCAGCCAGCTTCCTATCACTCGCACGGAGACTTGTGTGGTGCAATTTGTTTTCGCAATACGGGAACTCGAACATTACCTCAGATTCTCGGCATACTAGCCCAAGAAAGTCGCGCTCTGTAAAGACCGGTACCTTTTTTTCAAAATGTCCTTGCCTCCTTTTCAGGTGTGCAACAGTGAGGACGTGTCCCGGCTGAGTGAATGTATTGCTAAAACAAACATTTTTGATGGTTTGTGTCCGTCTCTCGTGAAGTGACCTTGCGGGGTGGTACTTTCTTCAGGAGGAGATCCACCGATTGGCCGTGATGGTGCCGGAGGAGTCGCCATTGGTGGGCATACGGCCGGACCGGTTCCCGGGCAAGCTGACGCACTACAGCAGCCGCTCGCGCAAGGTGACAGACAAGGACGAGGTGAAGGAGATTTCCGAGGAGCGCAATGGAGAGGTCACCAAGCAGACCACCAGGACACATCACCACGAGGAGAAGGACGACGACGAAGTGCGTATAGCGCGCACAGCACAGCAGAGAGAGAGAGAAATAAATAAAAGGAATAGACAGAAGGTTAACCTAGAAGAACTGGTTTGCTACCCTGTACAGGAGTAGGCAAAAAGGGTCGGAAAGAGGATAGAGATCCTGAGGAATACAGTGTTCTGAAAAGAGAAAGAGAGATATAAAAGCAAATGCAGGGAGGTTTACCAGACGCACGTCCAGTTTGCTACCCTGCACTGGGAGAGAGGGATGAAGGGAGAAAAAATAGAAGAGAGGGAGGGAAGATACACATAATCACTAGCACACTTGGGGGAGCACGCGCAGTCTACAGACGGTCGCTCAAATTTGTTGTGTTCAGGTACGGCGGTAACGCTTTAGTTGCTTTCTGCGCTACCAAAGCACGCGTCCAAGGTCCTAGGATCTTCTGAACAAAAAATGGTCTGGAGTCAGGTTGGTTCAAAACCATGCGGAGTGAACATCCCTGGCCGTCATAGCCAGCGCTGCTGCACAGGATGTGTTCGATGGTCTCTTCAGTTCCGCAGGAGTCGCATATAGCGATGTAGTGATGTCCGCCGTAGCGATGCGAAATGAATACGCCTTTGTGAATGCAACAACCACCCAAAGGTGGCATAACGGTGTCACTTGGGATCGAGAAAGTTGGGATGGCAGCTGCAGCTATGATGCGAGGAGGAAGGAGGAAGCAACAAAAAGGGAGAAGGCAGGGAGGTTAACCAGAAAGACATCCGGTTGGCTACCCTACACTGGGGGATAAAGGAAGGGGACAAGAAAAGACGAGAAAGAGGGAAGAGAGGGAAAAAAGGGGGTGGGGGAGAGACTGACAGTAATTTCACTGCAGCGTGTAGAACTCTACCGCATGTCAGAGGCGTTCACACAAGCCTGTCTTTCTCAGGAAACGCAGCAGGGCTTTCACTGCCTTGTGGGCTGTCGAGGCATGTGTACGTTGCTGTAATAGCACCTGCACAGAAAGAGGCCGATCATCCAGTCGCCGCATTGCGTTGGCAAGTACTTGTCTCTCTGAGGCAAATCGAGGACAATGACACAGCAGGTGTTCGATATTTTCGTCGGTGCCGCAAACATCGCACGCCGCACTGTCAGTAATTCTGATTAACGTGGTATAAGCTATAGTAAACAGATAAGGATCATCTGCACCATGACTTGCGCATTATTTGCTTGCTTATTCTAAGCTTTTTTTGCAAAGATGTGGATGTCGAAGGTACATTTTATAAAACTATTTTATGTGAGTAGGGGTTCTTAATGACGCAAGTCAAAAGAAAAGGAGGGGTCACTTAACCAGACAAATAGATGCTGTAAGCGTATCTATAGCAGCGTGAAGAGAAACGGTTAGGTTGCAAATGGCGTCTTCATATTCTTTCGCCAATGGCATTTGGAAGTCCTTCAATCCGAGTAGCTATGAAATGAACACAAACCATAGTTCCTGTAGAGTCGGCAAAGAACGGGCTGTTCGGCGATCATTGTTACCGTAAGCATTTGCTATCTTTTCGTAGAAGCAGGCTGGATCATATTATTGTACTTACCACATACCCTAAGGGAATATTCCAATGAATCAAATAAGCAATAATTGAATCTAATAGTTGATTAGAGGGAGCAAAAGCATTTTATTGTTCTCAGATTTGCTCGTATTTGCTCGAATGCTACTGCACTAAATGGCAACATTACAAAACCTTGAAAGGGTAAGTTTAGTGCTCGCCCAAATATGATTACTGTGTCGAACTTCTGTTTAATCTAATGATACTATAAAGAAAGTTTATTCCGAGCTCTTTAGTGTTTCGGTTGTGTTTTTTTGGCCAAGTTTGCCGCACATTTGCTAACCGAAAAAAACAACGCGCGAAAGGAAACGAAGTGCGAGCTGCGGAACATAGGGCTAAGCACAAGTGAACAAACATACATGCATTTGCCTTGCACCGTTTCATTGGCGACAGCATGGAAAGTGAGTGAACCATGCATGATGTAAGAATAACCACGTACCACTGAGGCACGAACACGTAACCTGGCGTTTTCTCTTAATGTGTCACGCAGCACAGCCGTGAGCAACCTGCATCTACTCCGCTCAAACCCCTTCATATGCCCCTGCACTGTAGTCGATGTGCTACTTTTCACGTTTTACGGTTTCTCGCGCATTCCTGACAAAATGAATTTCTCCTTTGCTAGGTCCCAGAAGACGAGGCAGAAGGAAGAGACCTTCCAGCTGTTGAACGAGAGACAAAACGAAACTTTGAGTACCTACACGATGGAGCGGAAATCAAGGTTCCCGACCGAATGCGCAAACAGAAAGACCTCCTGTACCTCCAGGCGACGTCTCCTGAACGACACGACCCGGTCACGCGACGGGCGTTGAGCCTAGAGGAGGAGGAGGAAATACGAAACAGTGAGACGAACCGCTGGCTGGACAACCACTTCGGATCGGAGACTTCGGACGACGACGCCGTGAAGAGCAAGCACGGTGGTAACGTTATCAACGTAAAGATGACCGACACCAAGAGGACGCCAACGCCTCCAACCAAGCCGCCCAGGGAATCGCCCAACCTCATCTACACGACGCCATACTTTAAGTCTCCTACCCCGTCACCGACTCCGCTCGACTCGACACTCAGAAGCACCAAGTCGCAACAGAAGACTACCTCCTATCGCCGCGAAGAGAAAGTGGACGACTCGAGACAGTCTCGCTCAAGCCCGCGTTCGAATTGGAAATCCAGCCCGTCCATATACCATGACGTGACGCGTCATCTGGACGAGTCGCCGACACGGTACACAAAAGAAGATCGCTCGTACAGGGACCTCGAGAGCAGCTACAGACCCGTCGAGAAATCGACCATTGTCGGGAACAGCGTCTTCACTAGGGAGGACAGAAGGCTCAACGAAAGCAAGCGAGTCACGAGCGAGTACGACAGAGACATAAAGAAACAACCACCTCAAGAAAGGCCGAGGTCTCCCGAATCGCGACCCGTACAGAGGTCGCAGTCTACAAGGACACCAGAGAAGCCAATTGCTCAAACTCCCAACTACACGTACAGTCTTCCACGAGGTTCAACCAGTCGACGCGCAACGCGCGTGGACCAAGCTTCCAAGACGAGTCGTGGAGTACAGGCAGACCTTGACGACGAGCCTTACACTCCCCCCAGCTCGCGCTACGTCGTGCACACAGTACGAGAAACTCAGAGCTTGCCCCGCCATCATCACCACCACCACCACCACCGACACCGTCACCAGCACTCTTCCTCCTCTCACCACCGACACCGCAGTGAAGAGACCGAACACCACCGTCGAAGCGGTGACCGAACCGCAGCCCCGACTCCAACATATCTACGGCGTCGAGGCCTTCCAAGACCTTCTATTTCGGCGACAAGACGGACACCAGCTACCACGATAGCCGCCACAAGGACGGCTACTTCACCATCGAGAAGGACCGCTACGTGAAGCCTCCCCGGCGGTTCAGGTCGGACCCACGCGAGCGTTACTACTCCGTCGAGGACCTAACGACCCGGTCGTACGCCACGCCGGCGCCGACGTCTTCGCCCAAAAAGCCCAGCTTCATCGACCGGCAGCGCTACTTCCCGGCGACTCCTCCGGCGAGCCCGCCCGCCGAGGCTTATAAAGATCACCAACGGCCGCTCCACGTCGCCAGTCCCCTCCCGAGTCGCCGAAGCCGACGTCGACGAGCCACCTCCTGCCTCCTCCGTCGCCATACGCGTCGCTCAACCGTCGCTACCGGAGCCCGTCGCCCGTAGTGAACCCTCCGGCGTTCACGCCCCTCCAGAGTCCAGTCGAAGTCAAGCGGCAACAATCTACGAGCTCTTACAACCGATCCTACCACCACAAGTCGGCCACGGCGGACTCGACCGGCTCCAAGCCCGGTCCAAGTGTAATTGAAGTCAGGAATTGGGACAGCCGATGAAGTCCTTGCCGTCCGCGCGATGTTTTCCACGACGCCAGGGTGTTCACCTGATGACGGAGTCATCTGAGTCCCGCTTCACGTGGGCTTGGTGACGCTGATTCGCCTTGTTTACCACACTCGTTGCATCTAAAATTCCTATACAGGACTTCCTCGCACGAGCTCGCCTTGGAAAGCATGAAAATGAGTGGAACCACGATCGTACGAGCTGTGTTCGTAAAGATTTAGCTTGTTAGAAACTAGAGCAGTGTTGCTGTAACTGGTCACCGTGATAGAGGCGGGTCGTTTGAACATCTAACAAGATATGGTTCGTAGGCTTGCATCCATTCACGTCCTGAAGTACCAAACTTGGTATATGTGAATCTAACGAAACGGCTGCGAGCGCATCATGAGCGTGACATGTAGTCATGTTGTTACATGACACGCATGTCGTGATTTTCGTGTTAGGGTATGCCACTTGTGTTCGCCTTGCAGTCATTTCATACTATACCAGTTTTGCAACACGTCATGTGAACGAACCCACCGCAAGAGCAGCAAGACCATGAAATGTAAATCATGACATTCATGACATACACGTCATGATTTTCATGTTATGACAAGTCAAACATGTTCTTTCTACAGTCCTATATGCCATACCAAGTTTGGTTTGGATATCGTTATCGAAACAGCCAGGAGAGCTAAAAGTCGTAGGCAGATAGATAGATAGATAGATAGATAGATAGATAGATAGATAGATAGATAGATAGATGATAGATAGATATAGATAGATATAGATAGATATAGATATAAATAGATAGATAGATAGATAGAATAGATAGATAGATAGATAGATAGATAGATAGATAGATAGATAGATAGATAGATAGATAGATAGATAGATAGATAGATAGATAGATAGATAGATAGATAGATAGATAGATAGATAGATAGATAGATAGATAGATAGATAGATAGATAGATAGATAGATAGATAGATAGATAGATAGATAGATAGATAGATAGATAGATAGACTAGCCACCACGTATATGTAGGCACTGCATCACGCGTTAGGAATTCAGTCAATGTCGTCTTTACTTGGCTTTGGCTTAACGTTGAAGGCAATGCTTCTACTTGATTCAATAAATAAGAATAAAATAGAGGGAATATACTAATTAAGTGTTCTCAAACCATACCCAAACACGCATCAATCACGCGATCTGCGACGCACTTACTCGAGTTCCCACCGTGGCAAGATGGGGGCAGCATTTTTCTTTTTGTTTTCTTTTTTTTACATCGGAAAACAGTTGCACAGCGGAACTATTCTAAAGGAAGGTTCATAGTTTGTCGTTCACAAGGACATGTCACGAATGTCTCATGGTTGCGAAATTTTCAATGTATAGTTGACGCTGGAGCGAAAGCTCTTTCAGGTCCCAGTATAAGAAAACGTTGTCGCGGTGCGAATGATGTATACGTTGTGAGAAGAAGAAAATAGTTCTTCAAATTGATTAACTGTTCTACCCCTTTCTTTACCTTATTCGTGTTCCTAAATTACGTGAAGTGAAAGTAATCTTTGAGGAAATGAAAAAAAAAAAGATTCATTTTTAACTCAACCAGTGTAAAAGCTTCGCTGTCTTAGAACTTGACGTCTATATTTGTTACAGCGGGGTTAAGGATAAAAGAAACACTTCGCCTTCGTTTTCTGGTCTTGTTTGATAAACAAGGGCGGGAAAAGAGTTTGGAATTGTTTGATAGAGGTTTGCAAATGTTACGGTTTTGCAGGTTAATACCACGATGTGGCTAAGGGATCAGTCACTTAGTGTGAAAAAAAAAAATCACAGCATCCACGGAATGAATGATGATGAGTGGGGCAAAACGTCCGTCATTCTGTCCGACCCTGCGACCGCATATCCGTGCGACCATCCATCCGTTCGTCCGTGCGTCCGTCAATCCATGCGTCCATGCATACGTACTTGCTTTTGTGTGTGCGTCCATCCGTCCGCCCGTCCGTCCATTCATAAAACACTCCAAGTACCGCCATCTCGTATCTTTTCTTCATATGTTCATCATATACAAGTACCGCCATCCAGCGGACATTCTAAGGACTAAACGAGAGGTGGCTATACTACATACTACAAACACGGGACACACAGCCCACAACATAAGGCACTTAGCCCCTAAAATATTCTTTCACCACTTCTTCTACTACGTCTACTTGAAGTACATTCTTCAGCAGCAACCTAATCAATTGGCCATCTTTTGCGACTCGAGGTCGGCCTTACAGACACTATGGTTCGCTCAGCTTCGTGGACTGCACGAAGAATCCGTATATCAGATAAGGCACGGCTACCACGAAGCGCTCGAGGAAGGTCACGATATTGTATTTCAATGGTTGCTGAGTAATTGCAGAATAGTTGGCAATGACCGCGCGGATGAAGCTGCTCGATCGGCTCATGACCAAGATCCGCGTACGCCCATACCACTCGTGAGAACGGACGCTGCAAGGCGACTACAGTCACTTGCTCGCCGTATAACTATCCTACAATGGAATACGCCGGGTTTCTCCCACGCGCGCCTGTATTCGATCGACCCAAGCTTGCAACTTTGCCATCCGGGCTCGCACGACGCGATGACACTTTGCTGTGCCGTATGAGTTAGGGCGTGACATTTACGAATGCGTATTCTTGTCTCCTCGGGATGGCGAGCACTTTGACATGCAACATTCGCGCCTGCGAGGAGACGCTTGAGCACATTCTATGCCACTGTCCAGCATACCAGTCTGAACGACGTATTATGTAGGCCAAGCTCCGTCAGCTGGATTCACGACCTCTCACAGAAAAGAAGATCCTGGGACCTTTGCCGATGGTTTCGCATAAGCGCACAGCCTCGAAAGCCCTCTTGTACTTCTTAAGGACCACCGGACTTCATGAGCGCTTGTGAAAGAACAGCGTGGACAGTGCTGTGTAGTCTGCAGCTGACTATTCATCCTTCTCTTTTTTACTCATCTTCTTTTCTATATCTTTCCCTTCTAATATTCCCTCTTTCCCCCACCCCAAGTGCAGGGTAGCCAACCGAGCCAAGCCTGGTTAACCTCCCTGCCTTGCCTCTCTATTTCTCTCTGTCTTTCTTTCACCACTAAGGATTTTTCAGTGGATACCTGAATCCAAGTCCGCAAGTGTTTTTGAATGACCTCTCTTATGCAAATCCTGTCCCTGTGGCAGGGAATTGAACCTTTGGCCTCCTGCTCAGCAGAGCAACACTAACGGCTAACCAACACGACGAGTCAATTTAAAAAAAAATTTCTTGGCACACTGCTCACGACTCGTTGGCCGCTTATCCCTCCCGTGCACTGTTTTGCAGGTGTTGTGCACTGATAGCAAGCACCGCCACGTTCGTGGAGCCATTAGTGTGATCTGGGGAATTCCCGGCCAATTCAGGTGAGAAAAAGCGGGGCCACTACCTGGAAGCGCGGCAATTCTCCAATGAGCGCAGCCGCTGGCTGACCTTCAACGTTGGATAGCGGGGTGTGCTTTGCAGCCACGGCCAATCAATACGAGCGTTACCAGCGGCGCATTCGTTATTGCAGTCAGCGTGGCGGCGAAAGCAAGGCCACCTCTCTGTGCTGTGCCTATGACTCGCCCTGTGCGTGGCTGGTGAACATGTCTCCTGTGCTTTTAAACTGGAGCTCCGGGTCGATTTTTTTTGTATGTGTGCGTTTCCTACCACTTCGATTGACTCACTGTCGTCGCCCCATTTTCTCGAAAGCTGTTTTGGTGGTAATGGAAGCACAGAAACAGCACGTTTTTGACATTCAGGTATACTATGAGAACAGTCTTTTTTTTTTAATGCGTGGCACTCTCCGTCTGGTATTCCGAGAATCTTTGCCAACAGCTTGACCGAATTTTTTGCGTTCCGTACGATGAAAAGGCCGCAGTACTATCAACATTGCGGGTGTGCAATCATTCGAAAATTTTGAATTCTGAGTCGAATACCATTTGATTCGATTTGGAACTCGAACCTAATGGCACATATAAAAACTACATAATATTTTTCGAATTTCTCAAGAAAAAAATATCAAAGGAACAACACGTTGGAAATGCGATGGATAATTTTTGTTAGTTTAATTAGGAAATCATCAATCTGCATGCCGGTCAAGCTTTACGTCATTACCAAAACTTCACTCATCCTCGGATGAAGGAATTTCCGCCTGGGGGAGAAAGAAAGAGAGAAGGGATATGAGACGTGGGGAGGTCAACTATAGACTACGTTCAGTTTGCTACCTTACACATGAGGAGAGGGGAATAAGGAAATGGAGAGATAGAAAGACGCAAAAGAGAGAAGGAAATGCACATTGCACAATACGCACACAGTACGCGGTTTCACAGACGGTCGCTCAGTCAAGTTGCCTTCAAGAATCGTAGGGTTCACGTGGCTTTCTGGGCTGACGTGCTGTTATACGCAAAACCTTTGCCTAAGTGGAGAACTCGTCGAAGCGAATGGGTCCTCAATCCAGTATCATCGTGATATTCATGATCTCGCTTTACGAAATATTATTTAACTTTTATGTCTTGGTATTTCTTGAAGGCTGGCTACTAAGTGCCACCTCGAATACTAAAGCAACTAGTGTAATCAACCAAACAGTAAAAAATAACCGTTAAGCTTTAGTCCTCACCGTACACCAGCTTAGCTTAGCTCACATAACAGTAGTATCTTTTTTTTCGGATAAATGTAACGGTGATGTTACTGAGTTTAAGGCTGGGAATATCTTTTTGAAATCAAAGTTGTACATTTCCATGCCTGTGTTATAAATGATTGCTTACCTATGCAAGCGCTATTCCAATTGTATTTTATACGTATTCGTTTTCAGTTCCCATTCAGTTTGGTTCTAAACTTCTTCATTCGCAAATTCCTAATCAATATCTTTGCAGCTCCATCTCCTTTAGAAAGCTATCTATCTAGCCGCCTACGACATTTAGCTCTCCTGGCCGTTTCTATAATGGTATCGATACCAAACTTGGCAGGGCATAACATGACTATATGACGAGCATATTTGACTAATCATAACATGAAAATTGTCGTGACATGTATTTAATGAATGTCATGATTTACATTTCATGGTCTTACTGATCTTGCGGTAGTTTCATACACATGACATGCTGAAAAACTGGTATGGTATGACATGATTGCATGGCAAACGCGAGCGACAGACCCTAACATGAAAATCATGACATGCATGTCATGTAACAACATGACTACATGCCACGCTTATGATGCGCTCTCGGCCATTTCGCTAGTATCACGTATATCATATTTGGTATTACGGGACGTGAATGGATGACGAAGGTATGATA